AGGTGGGGTCCCTCAGGGTGGCCTGTGGGGATCAGGCCAAAACCCACAGTCCAACGCTCCTACCTGCCTGCAGCTCCTACCTGCCGCTCCCGCTCATCCCGGCCCCACTGCGCCTGCCTCGCGCCCAATCAGTCCCAATCCAGAGAGGCTTGTGCTGCCACCACAGTGCTTGCCAGCCATGAGCCCCGAGTCAGGTGCCCTCCGAGGGGAGTGGCCTGCAGGATCAGGCTGAAACTGGCTCTCCAACATCCCCCGAAGGGTCCCAGATTGTGAGAGGACACAGGCCAGGCCAAGGGACCCCACCAGTGCACGATCAGAGCCGGGGAGGGACTGCGGGAGGGCTCCAGGGCGTGTCCAGCCCATCTTGCTCAGTCTCAATCGGCTGGACCCCAGTAGCAAGCTAACCTACCAGTCGGGGCGTCTGCCCCATGGTGGTCAGTACACGTCATAGCGAGCAGTTGAACGGTCTTAGCATATCATTAGCCTATTACGCTTTGATTGGTTGAACAGTCGACCAGTCACTGGATGACCAGATGCTTAGCATATTAGGCTTTTATTATATAGGATATTATGTACTATAAATATATACCTGTCACATTTTCTTTATCCACTCACGTGTCCACAGACACTCAGGTGGACTCCACGTCTTGGCTACTATGACTAGGGCAACCACAGAGGGAGCAGATATCTCTTCGAGGTGCTGCTTTCACTTCCTTTGAGTACATCCCCAGCAGTAGGATTGCTGCATCCTATGGTAGTTCTGTTTTTAGTTTTTTGAGGAACCTCCTACTGTTTTCCATAATGGCCGTACCAATTTATATTTCTGCCAGTAGTGTACAGGGTTCCTTTTCTCCACATCCTTGAGACATTCATTCTTTGTTTTTTGTTGTTCTTGTTTTTTTTTTTTTTTTTTTTTTTTTTAATATAAGAGCCATTCTGATCATCCCTGTGGATCACCCCTGATGATTAGTGATGTTGAGCACCTTTTCATATATCTGATGGCCATTTGGATGTCTTCTTTGGAAAAAATGTCTATTCAGCGCCTTTGCCCATTTTAAAAATCAGATTACTGCCTTTTCCATCTATTGATTCCCAACCTATTTTTTCTTAGTTCTTCTGAGTACCATGTAATAAAAATAGCTCAGAAAGTCTTGACCTCCTTAAGACTTGCTTGGCCATTTATTCATCCATCACATATTTACACAACACTATCACACAACCGTCACCGACAGTATCATGGTGAGCAGAACAGGTGCCCTCCTTGCCGTCATGGAGGTCTTGTGGGAGAGTCATCCATTAGACACATAATCACACACCTGAATATACACAATAAAGAGAAAGGCAGGTCAGAAACCAGAGCATTTAACCAGGGGCATGTGACCCAGAGAAAACCCAACGGAGGGAATAAGGTAGGAGCTGGAGTCTGAAATGTTATTTATTCATCCGTTTACTCACTGGTTCTCTCAACAGGTATTTATGGTGTTGACTATGTTCCAGGCTCTGTTCTAGACTCTGGAGATGCAGTGATGAAAAAGCCAACCAAAGTCCCTGGCCACATGACGCTTCCCTCCCATCACAGGGAATGAATGAAGTTGGGGTCACTGAGAAGGGCAGGCAGAGGGAGAGCAGGAGCCCGGGGCCTGAGGCAGCAAGGACCATGGTGCCCTCAGGGGACAGCCATGTGCCATCGGCTGGAACCCAGAGCGGAATGGAGAGGCAGCGACAAATGAGGCTGGACTGGAAGGCAGGGGCCCAGACCAGAGCCTTGTGACTTAGGATGGCAAGAATGCGCTCACGACAACGCCTCTGTGCTAGCAGATCCATTCCCAAACGCAACCCATTGGTTTTACGCCCATCGATGAAGGTGGCGGCTGGGCTTGGCAAAGTGCTGAGTGCTTCGGATGTGATCTGGCGAACTGGGCTTTGCTTTCCTTCGTGCATGTGTGACTTACAGCAGCCTCCGCCCGCCAGCCACCACAAGATGGACTCACAGGACCCCTGCATCCCCAGAATTTTCTTTTCCTGGGTCATTCCTTTAAGATCTTTTACTTTTTTTCCTTTTAATAGATTTTTTTATTGATTTCAGAGAGGAAGGGAGAGGGAGAGAGAGGTAGAAACATCAATGATGAGCGAGAATCGGCTGTATCCTGCACGCCCCCTACTGGGGTTTGAGCCCACAACCCGGGCCTGTGGCCCGACTGGGAGTTGAACCAGGAGAGAACATCTTTTACTTGATTTAACAATGCCACTTCCTGCCCTGTGGCCGTGGGAAATGCAGGCAACCTCTCGGAGCCTCCGATTCTTTGCTGTTCTGTGGGGGATCATAATACTTCCGCGGTGGGGTTGTTGTGATGGCTCATTTGAATGAAATGGGAACATGGGTGTGAGATTGCCCAGCACAGCACCCGGAGCTCAGTAGATGGGCATCGCAACCGTTATGTCTGCTCATTTACCCCTTACTCATCGATTTGGAGTTCTGTTAAGTGAAATTCTTCTGTTAAGCAAGGGATGCCTGCTCTCAGATTACAGAAACTGCCAGTTTCCGGGGCAAGAGGTTATTCGCCAGCTTGCCTCTTGCCATGGTTCAGGACCGGCCAGGGGAGATGGCGGAGAGGGTCCCTTCTGAGCTTAGTGGAGTGAGACTTCATTCCGGAACAAAGGAGCAACAGTGATACAAACCCAAGCCTTTGTCTTCCCTCCGTCGTGGGGATCCGAAGTCATGTGTGCGCCTGGATGGGAGAGCAGGCCACGTGACCAAGGCAGGGCTTGAAAGCCGTGCCTCTGCATGCTGGCCTGCAAACCAAATAATTGCATGCAGACGTTCCTTTTGATCCCATCCTAATACCGATTTACAACTCTGCTTCCTTGTAACCCCAGAGAAAGCCCTAATCACGGTGCGCATACCGAAACGGAGCAGGCCGGCCTGGAGGAGGGTGTCTGTAGGTGTGGGTCCCTGCAGGGGCAGCGAGGGGAGGTTTTCTAACCTTTACTTCTCCTTCCCCAAATTAGTGTCTCCATGTGGCGAGGCGGGTATTTTCATCTGAGTGAGCAATGGAGGCAGAAGACCATTTTTTTTTTTTTTTGTGGTTTGCTCCAGGCCAGGCAGTGTTTCCATTCTGTTCTTTTATGATGATCATGATTACTTCATTACCTACCCCTGATGGGGTTTCTTTGGGTCCCGGTCTGTTTTTAATAAGAAGCAGACTAAAAACAAAGTTTCGGTTGTGTTTGAAATCTTCAGCTTTCCCTCCCCCTCCACCCCCCTGAAATAATAGGTTCAAGCATTTTATTTGTCTTCTGAGGTTCTGAGGTTGCCTCCTCAGTGCTCAGACCCAAGTCCTTCGGGGAGCAGGGAAGTGGCCCTTAGAAAGTCACTGTCAGATGCAGGTTCCCGGGCTCTGCTCCCATCTGCTGACTCCGAAGCTCCGAGGTGAGGCCCCAGAAGCTGCGCTTTGAGCAAACATCCTGGTGATCCTAGTGGCTATTGAAGCCCGAGAACAGGATCAAGGAGGGAAGGTCCATCAGCAATGCTTCCTTTTAACTGCCATGCAATTCAAATACCATAAGCTCATCGTTTTACAGTGTGCAATTCCGTGGTTTTCAGTACGGTCACGAGGTTGCGCAACCGTCACCGCTATCCAACTTCAGAGCATTTCTAACCTAAAAAGAAACCCCGAACCTATAACAGTGAGTCCCACTTTCTCCCTCTCCGACCCTCTGGCAGCCACTAATCGATTTTCTGTTTCTAGGCCTATTCTGGACATGTCACATGAATGATATCGTATCTTTTATGGCCTTTTGTGTCTGGCATCTGGCATAATGTTTTCAAAGTTTATATTGTAGTCTGTATCAGAGCTTCAATTTTTTTGTTGGGGTATAATATTCCATTATAAGGATCTATCTCATTTTGTTTGTCCATTAATTAGTTGATATCAATCAATATTTACTGGGTACCATTTTTGTGCATCACAGTCCGATGGGCTGCCCAGGGGCTGGAGATGAGTTCTCTAATAGTTCTGGGAATCAAGAAGAGGAGATGGAAAAGGCAGCCTCAGACACAAAGCAGAATGGATGGATGGATGGATGGATGGATGGATGGATAGGAGGCCACACACCCAGGAAAAGAAAGTTAACTTGGAGAGGCAGCATGGTGGTGGGTGGTGCTGCCCAAGTTCAGGGTCAGCAGTAACAGTCACTCAGCCGGGGGCGGGGACCTTGACTGCAAGTTGGGTCTGGGCCCTGGGGTCCCAGGGATGAATCAGACATGATCCACCCCACGGGACTCATAGACTATGAAGGAGGGAACACGTGGACCTAGATTGTGGCTTAATACAGCGCAGCTGTTGGGGGAGTGGGGGAGGGGAGGCCCTTTCAGCTCAGGGGTTGAGACAGACGAAGGGGAAGCCGTGTGGGAACTGAGCTTGGCGGCTTGGGTAGGACTCAAAAACGGTGATAGACAATGGGAGCAAGTTCTGAAAACAGTCAGGGACACAATGTCTGAGACAGGCTCAGGGACAGGGTTCCAGGACACCTGTTTGACTCGGTCAATTATTTCCAACCCTGGCTGCACACCAGAGTTACCCAGGGCTTAAACAACAACCACCAAAGCCTGGGCTCCGTCTGGAGAGATTCCGTTTTAATTAAATGGCTTTAGGGTGAGCCCAGGCGGTGGTATTTACTAAAGGCTCCCCAAGTGGTTCTAATGAGCAGCCAGAGTTAAGCAGCACTGACTCGGAGACTCAAGGTTCGCGGTGAGACCGTGGGACACCAGCCTGGCATGTGGCGCTGGGAGTGGACGGTAGGCAAGTTGACTGCATCATTTATTGCCCAAACTGGGACACGTTTTGCATGAGATGAGGTGCTGTTATTATTATTATTTTTTAAAAAATATTTTTATTGATTTCAAGAGGAAAGGGGAGGGAGAGAGGGATAGAAACATCAATGATGAGAGACAATCATGGATCGGCTGCCTCCTGCATGCCCCCTACTGGGGATGGAGCCTGAAACCTGGGCATGTGCCCTGACCGGGAATGGAACTGTGACCTGCTGGTTCATCGATGGACATTCAATCACTGAGCCACGCCGGCCGGGCGAGGAGGTGCCATATTCATGATGCCAGGGCAGCAGGCTGTCCCAGACAAACAGACCTTCACATGCAGGCTGTGGGATTTGAGCTGCACCTCCTCAGCCGTGGGAGCCAGGGAAGGTTCGGGAGCAGAACCCTGACACCTAATAAAACTGGTGCTTTAAGGAGAGGAAGGAAGCAGCAGGCTCGGATGGGCTGGCAGGGAGAGGCTGGAGGCAGGAAGGCAGAGGAGTCCGGGGAGGGCTGACCTGGGAACGTGAGAAGGCGGACACCGTGTGAGAACCTGTGTGAGAACCTCGCTCAGTCCCTCCGCTCACTTGTTAACTGAGAATCCAGGGAGCCTCCTGGGAGGGGCTTCAGGCAATGGCTTCCCCAGTTGTCCCCGCCCGGGGAGCTGCCACCCCTTGGGGAGCCCCAGCCCTCCACTGCTCCTCCTCCAGCTTCCGGAGGTGCTACTGTCCTTGCCTTTTCCCTCCCTTCTCCTGCCTCGCAGAGCTGGTCGGATGAGTTGTCCACCCGTCCACCCAGCCTGAGGCCAAACACTGGATGTTTGGCTTTGAGTGTGAGAATTTGGGCCCGGCTCTGTGCAGGGCCCTCTGCTTCCAGAAGCTGGGGGAGAGGGGCGGGTGGCACCAGCTCTTTGCCTTCCATGTCCTGACCCCCAGAGCAGAAAGTGCCGTCCCCAGAGCTGGAGTGGGAGAGGGAAGGTGCAGACCTCCTCGTCCCCCAACACTGGCTGTGCTTCCCAGTGGAAGGCAGAGGGGCGCCCCAATGCCAAACACGAGGCGCACAGCGGGGGTGGGCCAGTGGGCGGAGGAGAGGACGCTGGAGAGCAGAAGGGCCAGCTTTTCTCTTTTCTCAATCTGGGACAAACATATTTAACATTCTCTCAAAGAACATCCATCCATACATGCAGGCCAGCCCGCCTACCCTCAGCACTCAGGGAGGCCAAGGGGCCCTCGCTGCGTGGACTGGCCCTCCCCAGCTCCTGCCACGACCCCTGAGTTGACGAGATGTGTCGTTGGCCCAGGCAGTGGGGGTCGTCTCTGGCCTGGAAAGAAAACCCTCCTTCTCCTTGGACCCAAGGGGTGGTCACCACTGCACCTGGAGCCCCATAAGTAGTACTGTGGGGTCAGCTGTGGTTACCTGGCCTGGGGGGCTGGGGCCAGAGGGGAATTCCTGAGAAAACTGCAGTGTGATGAATTTTGGTGCTGGAGGCTGGTGCTCTCTCGAGAAGTGAAGGACCTCAATGTTTGCATCTGGAGAATGGGTGGACGGCAGCCTGGTAGGTCAGAACGTTTTTCTTTCTTTTTAATACACGGTGTTATCAGCTTCTTTTTCTAGACAACGGATGAGAACTGACTTTGTTCAGGGAAGCAGGCTATGGGATTTAAGGCCCCTCTTGGTCACCCACAGGCGAGGCTAATTCGCCTTGATTTCCCCTGGAAAGGAGGGAGCAGGCTCCTCTCAGTGCCTGCAGGGAGTTCTCTGGCTGGGGGCCGAGGGACATCCGGGGAGAAAGGGACGAGGACAGAGGCCCCTTCCTGTTGAAGTGGAAATTCCTCTGATGAAGATTGGGATGGAGTGCCCCAGCCAGAGAGGCCCCCAGCCCCCAGGGGATGGCACTGGGAAGAAGGGGGTCAGAGCTGGTGACCTGGCTTAGCCTCAGGACCTCGTTGGGGCTGGGCCCAGTGTGTGTGGGGGACAGGAGCCTCCCTGGAGGCAGCTGCCTCTGCCATGGTCACCCTTACCTTGAGAACATGGCTGAACTTGGACGTGTGAGATATCAGCTAACCTCGGAGCCTGACTCTGGGCGAGGGGCAGTCCCAGCGAGGCATGATCCCAGCAGGCTTTGCAAGGCCGTTTCCATAGCAATACCATGCGCTACGCCTCAGCTGTGGGAGCCGGGACCTCAGGGTGTTCAGTTCTCTCCAACTGCCATTTGCAATCAGAATGACTGCCCCAGGACCCAGGGCTCCCAGATTCCTTGGGGCAGAGGGGTTAGGTATGTAACAGTGGGTGTGGAGTGAGGCTTCCTGTTCCTATGAACATATGCCGCGCCAGCAATTACTGAATAAATAAGAGGGACTGAATTTGCGTCCCAAACTGGTAAAGTGTGTTTGCTTAGGAAAAAGTCCAGAAAGTTATACAACGCAAAATCATTAGTCATTGCCGCTAGCTGGTAAGATATCAGCCGGGACCCTTCGATTTTTCTTTTCATTTCTCTGTATTTCCCTGCAGTGAGAGCTATTAAAAACACTTTCACAGTGGCTCAAAAACTAATAATTATTTAGTGGTCCCGAGAAAAGGCTTTATTTAGTCTGCTCTTATCCGTTCCAGGAGGTGGGGAGCAATACAGTGTGGTTTTGGAAAGGTTTCTCTTCATCCCAGATGGTTCAAGTAGAAAGTCCAGTGCCTACTGGTGTGTGTTCAACTGTCTGGAAAAATCAATTAGAATGGACAGCAGACCTTGGCTTACAGTGATGGGGGAGACGGAGCCACGGTGTCTACTAGGGGATCAGGGAAAGAAGCTCCGAGGAGGGCCAGGCAGTGAGCTTGGCTCCCGTGTCTCTGAGGGCGGCCTGGGGCAGAGGGAGCCCAGGACCCGCTGATGTGCAGAAATTCCAAGGGACAAAGGTCAGGCAGGCCAGCTAAGCACATGGCAGCACATCCATGATTGGGATGTCTTCGGAAAGGCTGTCATGAAATGACCTCAATCTTCCAGCCACAAAGATGTTCTGTCTGTTGGTTGTCACATCATCTTGAACATGACAGGAGCGTCCGTGAGGATGAGGGAGCAGTAAGGAGAGAAAGGTGGGCCAGCTACTCCAGCCAAGAGGCTCCGGAGAAAGAAGACAATGAGGGCATGGCCAGGGTGGGAGGGTGGGGTTCCGGTTGGTGCAGACGTGAGAAATCAGTGGAGGTCTGGGGCGACCGCAGTACGGTTAGGGATGGTTGTTTGTCTACAAAGGACCCAGTTAGCACCGGGAAGAACAGCAGCTGGTGTGGCGTCCCCGTGAGGAGACCAGCACAGTGCAGGCACGGTCCAGGGCCCGTGGGGTGGGTGAGGTCCAGGGCAGAGTTCTGAGGACCATGGTGAGCTGGATTGTGAGGCAGGGAAACTGAGGCAGAATCCTGTCTGGAATACAGAGGCAACAGGGCAGGCAAGTGGGTGGGGATGTGCCTTTGGGGTTACCCAGGCCCACAGGGCACGTCTCTGGCCATGAGACTCATTCCAGACCCCTCTGGAATGTCCTGCCTGTGGAAGGCCTGCCTGATATGGTGGGAGGGGCTCACAGCAGGGGCACGCAGAGGGGAGCCCCCCTGGGGGGCTGGATGGGCAGGACCCGACCTGGTGGCAGACCTATGAACTGCGTTGGCTGTTCTTTATTCGTGAGCACGGATGGAGGGCTTGCTGGCCCACCTCTGCGTGTCTGGTTCAGAAGGCCTGGTGGAGATGGCAGACTTGCAGGGTGTATTTCTAACCCGTTCCTGGGGGAGGCTGATGCTGTGGAGCAGCGAGCTGTTCCTGCCTCCTGAGGCACAGGTGTTCTCAGATGAGGATGAGGATGGGCCAGCGCCTGGCGCGGTCTGCTCCTCTCTCAGCTCTCGGTCCTTGGAGGGTCCCCTCACCCACCCTCCCTCCCGGCCTCTGTGAAGCTGGGGCCCAGTCTCCTCTTCCTGGCGGGGTTTGCACCCTTCTAGTCTCCACTGTCTCTGAAACAAGTGCCTCTCTGGGGAAGAACTGGCCACTTCCCCGTTGGGTGGTGGGAAGGGGCTGGGGGGTTCCTTTGACCTCCCGCTGCTCCTGGAGCCTCAATGCCAAGGGCAGCCGGGACCCAGGGAGTCTGGGTCCTGGTTTCTGGCCCCGCTGGGCAGGTGTAGAGTGAGGGCTCAGTTACTGGCATCTTGATGGAGCCCGAATCAGCCCCTTTTGGGCAGAGAGCCCAGTCTAACTCTGCCACAGCCCATGAACTGACACAGGCTCCTGGCCTCACAGGGACTCAGTTTCCCCAATGGGAAAGTGAGGCCACCCAGATACTCCCAAGACCCTGGCCAGGTCTCGCGTTCTTGACTGAGGAGGAAGGTGGATCAGAGGAAAGCCAAGACTCATGGGTTTGCTGGAAAGGACTGGAGAAGGTGATGTCAGCTGTGTGCGCTGGGCCGAGGAGGGCGGCTGAGTCACTGGGCATGATGAGGCCGGAGGGGAGCTGGGGTAGGGGTGCAGAAGGGAGGGGGAGGAGGGCTGGAACAGGAAGGCATGTGGTCATACTGCTGGCGAGGAGGCCGGGGCTGGCAGTGGGGCCAGTGAGGCTGCCCAGTGGTGCCACTTGGCCGCTGGTGGATCATCAGGGCTCTGGGCTCCGGGAACCGCAGCCACTTGCTGGGAGTGGCCGTGCTGTGGGGATGGCTGCTGGGCCCTGACCCAGTGCCATGGGGCTGACTTATGGAGGCCTCTGTGTGACAGGCCCTGGGGGAGGCCCCACCTGCCAGGAGCCTGCCCCTCACCTTCGGGCTCCAGTCCTGGGCCACTTCTCACAGCGCTGCTCCTGCTTGTCTGCTCTTAGTGCCTGTTCCCAGCTCCCAGGGCCCGGGACGCCCCTACAGCTTAGCGTGGTCGGGGTGCACAGCAGGACCCACACAGGGGCAGCTCCTCCATCTAGTCCCCCATCCAGAACTATTGGAAAGAGGGATGGAGGCGAGGGTCTGACCAGCCCTGCTCCGTCCCCCTCCCTTCTCTGCCCTCGTGGCTTTCTGGGGACCCTCCGTGCTTCCAGTGCTGGTCACCCCCAGGTGAGAGGAGGCTCCAGCAGCTCCCAGACCAAGCAGCCCTGTGCCCCCCCCCGAGGCACCCTCATGGCTGACAGGCCTTGCTAATGGTGCCGGCTCTGCCACACTCTAGCTCTGTGCTCATGATGTCCAACCCCCACCCCCCCCACCCCCGGTCTGTGCAGGGTGGGGGCTCCAGCAACGGTTCTATGGTTGGTCTGGGACTCCTAGCAGCAGGACCAAAGGTGCTCCCAGACTCCTGGGGGTTGAGCTGGACCCAGAGACCTGGGGTGGCATTTGGTGGGCTGCAGGCATCTTTGGCCTTTGGGAAAAGAGAAGGGAGTGTTGGGAGGGAACCAGAGGCAGGGGGTGAGGACGGAGGGGGGATTCTAGCCCAACCTGGGCCATGGTTGGGGGAGGCAGTGCCCCCTAGCAGGGGCTTCTGGTCAGGTGAGGGCTGGCTTGGGAGGTTATCTGAGGGCACAGGAAATATCTGGAATCTATGGGAATGGGAACTCGGGTCAGAGGTCACCTCAAATTAAAATTTAAAAAGCCCTCTGTGTGAAGGGAATCAAAGGAGGTGAAGACATTTGCTCTTCCGGAGTCTCCTGAGCCCAGATGTTAGCGGTTAAAATTCTTGTGCGGCCAGACAATGGGCGCTGAGAACAGCTCTGGGGCCGGAGGGGCAGGAGCGCCCCGAGGATGCGGTGGGGTCCCTCAGGTCCCCCCAGGACACTGACCTGGGATTTCTTGAGCAAAGCCGGGCACTGTGGGGCAACGGGGTGCTCGGGGGTCCCAGGCCTGGCTGGCCCCTCACTTTGGCGGGCTGTAACCTGGCATGAAACAGGATCCGGGACCCCGCTGCCTGCGTCAGAGCAGCTCGTTAGCGGAGGCCTGGGCCCTGCAGATTTATGTCATCTGGGGAAGGGCTTTGATCTGAGCCCAGGGTGAGGGGCAGGGGGTTCTTGGGTCTTAATTGGCATCAGCCAGGCTGATGCTGACCAGGACCCCATCCTGACCAGCCCCCAGTCTCTGCCTCTGTGACTGATGCTGCTTGGGGTGCGGGGCTCTGGCGGTGGCGGAGGGAGGGGGGGAGGACAGAGGGTGTGCGGAGTTTAATCCTGCCCTGGAAGGGGGAGGATTAACAGCCCCAAGGGGTCCTCCTCCCTGCAGCCACTCCCCAGCCTTGACCCATCCCTGACCTTGACCCCTTCCCCTTCCCACTCTGACCTCACCCAGTCCAGGGGTCACCATCGGCCTGGCCCTGTGCTGGGCACTGTGAGGATGTAAGTCCAGCAGAAAAAGCGAGGTTCAAACCCAGCTGCAAGTAGCAGATGAAACCACAGGCTGTGCTGGCCAGTCTTAGACTTGCTCAGGCCAGGGGTGTCCATTTACATGAGGGTTTTCTTATGTTTTGTTCCTTTCTTTCGTTTTCTGGATGAAGAGGAGGGAGGAGGTACAAATAGGGGCTACTTGGAGACAGGAGAGGGAGACAGAAAGGGGGGCTTTGTAGATGGAATTGAATTCAGGCTCTTCAGATGGGAGACTGGGTTATTCAGGCTGGGCCTCAGGGCAGTCACCAGGGCCCTTGCCAGAGGAAGACAGGGTGTCAGAGGCAGAGAGAGGTGTGACCGTGGGAGCAAAGGCCAGAGAGGGAGATGGGAAGATGCTGTACTGCTGGCTTTGAAGATGGAGGAAGGGGACGTGATCTAGGGAATCGGGTGGCATGGTGAAGCTGGAGAAGATAAGGGCGTGGATTTCTTCCTGGGCCGTCAGAGGGCACACAGCCCTCCGGCCCCCTGATGGAGCCCCTTTCCACGCAGGTTTGGACTTTGCACTGTGGGAACCGGATGATGATGAATCTGGGTGGTTGGAGCCACCATGTTCGCGGTCGCTGGTTATATCAGCCATAGGAATTAACAGGGGGTCCAGATGCCTCCGGGAACGGCTGTGGGAGGTGCCTGGAGCCCAGTGAGATGGGAATGTGGACAGGTGAGGCTAGACGGGGAGGCCCGGACGACAAAGGGCCTCCAGGTCATAGAAAAGAACTTGCCTTAGTCCGAGGCAGCCCAGCCGAGCTATGCACGGAGGACGGACATCTCAGGAGGACCCCTGCGGTGGAAGAGGCACGGGTGGGAAGGGACTAGAGAGAGTGGCCAGAGGGCCTGCTGCAGGGGTGGGGGCAGCGATGTGACGTGGGCCCAGCTAGAG